AAGAAATAAATAAATATACCACCATTGGCTTTGATTTGTTTCCTAACATTGTTTTCTAGTGCAGACTAAACACACCAGCTTCACAAATGAAGTTTCTCTTACTTCCCCACAGAAAATCCTCTAAGGTCAAGACCATTAGCACACACAGAAGTATAAATAAATTGGACTAATGACGTTTCCTCATCCTCTAAATAGCAGTTTGGACACAGGGAATTGAACATAAAATCTACTTAGGAGTTTATCAGCTGTCTAAGCTTCACACAAACAAACAAACAAACAAAAAAACGGATGTAAGTTATCCATAAAAATTCAACTCAATTTCCAAAGAAACAAAAAGCAGAGAAGCATCCCCTTTCAGCACTTTAGGAAGTTTATTTTTACTGCATGAATTACAATATGATGAAATTTGTGCTTTTTTTTTTTTCCTCTCTCAACCACAATTCATAATCAACATTTAATACAAAAATGCTTTAAAGCTTAGCAGTTTAGATTTGAAAGAGATGTGAATGACTGTGTGTGTGCAACCCTAAACTATTGCCCTCATATAAAAGTACTGTAATAAACTATATACATTTCATAAAGACAACCTATATCCTATCATCATACAAGTATTTTGGTTAGCTACTCATTTTTGCAATAGTAGTAACTGCTCTAACTTTTTAAGTAAGTGTAGATTTTCAGAAACTGTTGATTACTGAAAAATGTATTTGAATGACACAATTAGAGGAAATACGGCAAAACACAAAATTGCTAAGACTACTTCACTGCACCACTTACAGTCTCTTAGAGATAAGAAATATTATTGTGCAACAGCTCCAAAAATTCAAGGAGCTTGCTGCCTCTGAAGCTTAAGATCCTCAAACAATTCAATGAGAAATTATTCAGAAATAGATATGAGTGAAGAGTAAAAAACAGGTATGTGAAGTTTTAATCCCATGGGGTTTTTTTAAATCTGAAGCTTATGCTCCTAACATTCTATAATTTTCTCAAAAGTGTTTTCTGTTGTAATTAAAAACAAGCTAAATATAATTATATTAATTCACATCCCAAAGGGTACAAAGCATCAATCATTGTTGATATCCCAATGGGGGTTGTTACTTTCCTACCCTTCTCAGACTTTGACTTTCAATTTGCCCTGGTTTCTCAAAACAAGCTCAGATAGAAATCAGCTAGAAAAAGGAAACCTAAAAGAAAAAAATGGAACGGGTATTTAGAGACATGTTAAGAACACTGATTTTAAGAAATCAACTGTAGTAACTCTAATTTCTACTGTAACAAAGAGCTTGAGAACTAACTTCAGACAGTTGTTTTTTTTCTCATTTCACCAATATCCCTCCCTTTTTAAGATCCAAATAAGGTTTAAGAATGTTACCAAAATGATCTAAAAAATCGTTACAAACCCATTTCTAACCAAAAGCATACTGGAGCCTCAACATGGTATATGAAGACACCCTAGCAGATTCAAGTTTTTTGCCTTACTTTCTCCAAAGGAATCTTCCACGGAAAGAAGTATGCCCATGCAAACCTAGACAAGAACTGGAGCCTGTTTCCACAATAGGTACAATCATTATAGAACATTCAATCACAACTCTATTTCCACCAGGTAAGTTAACAAGAAATTATTAAGTCAGTCTTTTAAGAATATGCATTTTATTTAGGTACATAAAGCAATGTCCACAAGGCAATTTTATATTAAAAATATTCAGCAGCCACTTAATTATGTACAAAACAAATTTAATGTACAAAATACCTTAGGAGTATACAGTCTGAATACCAGAAGTAGTATGTCTATGTAGTTTAGTATTATCTTTTTTATGTCCATTGCAAACACAGACACAAGTACTTTGCAATGTTAATATGTGAATTCCAAAACAAATAACACAATTACCCGTATTACATAAAGATCCACACTAGCTGCAAAATGGGGGGGGAAAGTTGTATATATATACATCAACAAAATAAGATCACTGTATTAAGCACAAAATAGATTTAGTTAACAAGACTTCTAACACTCCTTAGGCAGAAACACTTCAGTGCAAAGGCCAAACACGGACAACTTACACAAAAATGCCATATACCATAATATCATGCAGTATTCTAAGACAATTAAACCTGTCACTAATGACACCAACCTGGTTCTCAGTAAGGAAATTAAGAAATATATAAGGAAATTATTAAAATACCTGTTTCATTTAAAAAACAAATATACACATTACCTTTTGTTTATAAAAACAGAACTAAGATTTTCCAAGCATGGAAATAAATAATCTCTGCTGAAAATTAACTGGAATTCACGTTTATCCACCACTTAGGCACCTCTGCAGTGATCAGCCTGCAGGTTTGTACTAATTGAAGGCTCACTTCGGGATTGCAACCTGAAGAAAAATCCCTCCCCTACTCCTTATACACTGAACAGCATGTGTTGCTTCTTCAAGATCACTAACAACACTGAGGCAAATGCAAATGAAAAACTATATATGAAAACCTAGCTAGCTAACAAGATCCAAAGTTGTTTACTAAGGTATCAATCCCACAGTAAGATCCGCAATAAACATATAATGCTGAGGCCCTTTGGCTTCAGTCACTTGTTCAAAGTTTAATCTGCATGAAACCCATGGCAAGACTGAGCTCCAAGTACTACACATTGCCACCTACTACTAGTACCTACTTTCCAATGGAATCCACAGGACATACATTTAGGTGTATGTCCAGTTCAGGCTCTAAAACTATTAAAAATGCTAAGAAGTTTTATGCAAAGAAGAGCAGCTAGGGGAATGAGAAAACAAACCAAAAGCAAAGAGAAGTTAAATAAGAATAAGGGAAAAGATTTAGAGGGAAAAACGAAGCCATTCAATGAAAATGTAAGAAAACCCACATGTATTAGAAATCTCTACCTACATTAGTTAGAGCCTCAAGAGTATTTGGAACATGAGAAAGCAAAACCAACTAACAATATACCAGGCATGACGATGCCAAACTTTGTCCTAATATTTTACTTTTAAAAATTAGAATTTCTCTGCCAGAAGAATACACACAATTTTGGAAAAACTGAACTTTAATTATAAATTATCCAAACAGGACATTTTGCCTCAGCGGGGAAAACAGACTTGGACTTTTAAGCAGTGGGTAGTTATCATTTGGACTAACTACAGAGAAACTGATCACTGTAAAACATACTGTTCAAAAAGCAGAATTTGCTGTTAAGACTAATTAACACAACAAGCAGTATACAATCACTATCAGTCAGATTTCTATAGGAAGTCTTCCGAGGAAATAAATCAATTATGCTCCACCTCATGAACTTATCAGATCATAGTACGTACACGGGATTGTGTTATTTACACTTCAATGCTTCAAGGCACTCAAAATAGGTAAGGATACAGATGGCTACGTGTCAACTAGAACATAAACACTGAAGTACTGTCATTATATAAAACTTTTATTAGTAAGGGTAAGAAACATTGATTTTATTCAAGAGGATAGAGGTCACACTGCTCATAGTGCTAAATGACAACAGCATCAACTAGACCAACAAGCAAAATATACAGAACATGAAATTTGTACCTGAGAGCACTGGAACATGTTTTATTTTTATTTAGAAACAAAACTGTAGTGCAACCTGAAGTCAGGAATAAAGTTTTTGTCTTTTTTTGATGCAACATGCTCAACAAAAATTAATTAAAACTAGATGAAAATTACTATTGTATAGTAGCTGCCAAGTTTAGCATGAATAAGTGTATGGCAGTATATGAACAAATGTATTTTTCTAGTTGCAGCAGTACTTTTATTGCACTTATTGCTGTCCAGGATCTAAAATACTGACATTGACACTGGAAAATATATTAAAAGTAATAATGTGTATGAAAAGGAAAGTTGAAACATACATGCAGTTACTAATTTGACTAATGAGGCACCAGAATCTGGTAATTATCAGTTAAAAAAATAAGTCCAGAATGCCCTGATTCTGATCTTCCATATAAAGATACAAAGTAACAGCAATGGGTGCAAACAGTACAAGAGAATATATTGCCATTACTAAAGGAAGCTTTCTTCAAAACAGACAAGAGGCAGACACAAACAGCACTAAGGCTTTGCCTGATTTTTTTTTTTTTTCCATTGAGCAAAGACTCTCATGCTAAAGTTGAAACAACTGTTATTCCAATTCTTTCCTGAAAGACTCGAGAATAAACCATAGAATCCTAGTGACATTTCTTATGAAATACATGCAACATGTATATACCTACAAAATAGCTGTTTTAAAATTCTGAATGTTACATTTTGACAGTTGATTAAAGAGTGAATTGGGGGAGAGGGCACACAATTTTAATTGCTTGCTCCCCTACAAATTTGGTCCTATCAAAAACTATACATGTCCTACCACAACTACAACTGTCAAAACCTGAGGTCAGTGAGGCTTTTAAAAACTAAAGCTATTTCTGTTATAATATTGTACTGAGTATAAAGACAGAAGAAAATAGCGACATTGACTGGAAATACCAATTACAAGACTGGTAGTTTAATAACATACGTTATCAGAAAATCTAATTTTAAGAACATTTAATAAAACAGTCATAATATAAACTGAGGTTCCCGCTCCCCAAACTACGCACCACATAGCAAAACTAAATTTAATCTACAAAATGATAATTCAGTGTTCTTCCCAATGAACTGTATCTTCAACACCTAGAGAGATGTTTCAATAAGTCTAATGGTGTTTACAGAATTTTGTACATGCTATATACACTAAAGTTCAAGATTTTGAAAAAGTTAAAAATGTTAAATTGTCAGTGAAAATTAGGCAAAAATAAAGATATTCAGTGCAACAGCTCAAAAGTTCACATACAAATTTGTTACCAAACAGTGAGAACTGTAATATGTCAATTAAAAAAATAAAAAACTCAGTTCTGGATTATAAATAGGTCCTATATAATTACAAGGATTTTAATATACCAACATATAAACATTAATTTTTTTTTATTTTTTTTTTTTTATTACTCCCACTACTCTCTTGTAAAAGCTCTTTTTTGGTTAGCTTTCACAATATCATCAGGAGATGCTGATTTGAAGTCAAATGGTGTTATGGCTATTATAGGGCCAGTTTCCTTGGGGTTTATGTCTTGTACCTGTCTACTGTATAGGAAAGCTTTATGCATACCAATTGTGCGCCGCTTATAACCTTTTGGAGGATAACGGAGACACAAGGTTAAAGCAAAAGCTGAAGGTCTTGCACGCAGCGCCTTCATCCATGAAAGGGACAAATCCTGCCTCTTAAGAGTAAGCCCTCTTCTGGGCTTTTTATTTGTTTTGGCAAAACCACTTGTACCTGTCTACTGTATAGGAAAGCTTTATGCATACCAATTGTGCGCCGCTTATAACCTTTTGGAGGATAACGGAGACACAAGGTTAAAGCAAAAGCTGAAGGTCTTGCACGCAGCGCCTTCATCCATGAAAGGGACAAATCCTGCCTCTTAAGAGTAAGCCCTCTTCTGGGCTTTTTATTTGTTTTGGCAAAACCAGAACATTTGCCTTGTTTTTCTTTTAAAAGTTTAGTTTCAGAACTTAAGATATTTGACTGTCCTACCACATTTTGTTCTGAAGTTACACCTGCATTTTTTACAAGGACGCTTAAATCAATGTAGGTTCTTTTAGGGGGCCTCAGCTCAGTTACATTGAGCATGGGGAAGTCTGTCCTTTGCTGAGTTTTATCTACTTCAATAGTCTCTGCTATTAAATCCGAAAGTGATAAATTCTCAACTTCCTTTAGCGGAGAAACTTTAGAGAGGGCTAGAGAAGACAAAGATCCTGTCAGCTCTGGCATCCCACCTGAAGTTTGGGGTTGACTTAGTAGTTCTGATAAGGATGAGGTTCCCAATTTCCTATCGGTGAGACTTGCTGTTGACTGGGTATAAAGATCAGCCAAAGAATAACAGTGGCTAGCACTGCTTTCCTGGTGCTCCTGAAGTAAGTCAGCCAATGATGTACTTCCAGACCCTAACACTGGCAAAGCAGCCAGGCCTGAAGAGGGGCTTTCTTGTTTTGTACTTTGCACAAGCGAAGAATAATTTGCAAGACGTTCATTCTTTCTATTTACACTATGACTGACTTCGTTATCAAGAGCCAGTTTTCCTAAAGCACTAGTTAAACACGGAGGACTGCAAAAATTTGCATTACTATTACAATCAGGAGTATTTGAGGAAACAAGAGGAACGCTGTCTTCAGGACTCAGAGAATCACAAACCACATTCTGCATCAGCAAGGATTTCAAGTCCTGTATTTCCTTGCATTCCGACTTCTTAAAGGAAGAATTTCCAGATGGGTTACCTCCTATGCTAAAGTAAACATCTTCACTGTCAGGAATCGAACTTACTGTATTAGCACTTTCTGATAGTTGATTCTCTGCCTGTTTATTCACAGGTTCACAAAACAATCCTTTACATAAATCATCACTGAAAGAAGATGACACAAGTGAAGAGGATTTCAATCCTTTCCTTTCAGATGTAGGTATATCGGATTTTTCAGCATTAAGGAGCATTCTGTCATTTGTAATTAGAGAGTAACAAGCTGAACCACTTTTGGCTGCCAAGTTTCCAAACCCAGGTTTGTTGGTGTTGTCAGCAACATTTTCTACTGCACAAGAGGAACTGTCTGTATCCATACACATTTCTGGACAACAAAGTAAGTCTCCTTACCTTACAATAGCCAATAATTTTCAGATGGAAGTGCAGTCACAACGAAATATCCATTTTTTTTTTAAGTAGACAGCGGCAACAAAGAATCAAGAAGAAACATGAAAAGGCATTTAATTACTAAGTGTTATCCAAAGATATGCAATGTTCTACAACTAAATTATGGTTATCTACTGAAATACTTAAGAAACTTTAAGAATCAGCAAAGAACGCCAGTAAAGATTACAAAGACTTAAACATAAATCAAAATAAAGTTACCTACAGACGCTACCAAAAAGAGGGAGATATTGGGGATGGAACATATCAGTTCACCAAACAAATAATAGAAGTGCATAAATCTTAAAGATGTTGTCCAACTTCTAGGACATTCAGTTATGTCATATATTAGAAATCAGAAGTTTACTGCGAATTGCAGATGGTTGCAGTTTGAATTTAAGCTGACACTAAAGTTTTATTTTTACTTCTAGCTCAAGAAAAGCTACTGTTTCCTTTAAATGTTTTTAGAACACAGAAATAGAAGAGTAAGTTGGACTTTTTATTTTTCTAATAAATGACTAATGCAATAACAAGCATCTTCACAGCTTGTAAAGCCAAAATTAAACTGTACATACAAATGAATCATCTTGAATGTAAACAATTAAATAGAAGTATACCTTTTGTCGTCTTTCCTACAATCACAGTGTCCTCATTCTTGGTCTTCACATTTTGCTTACTGCCTTGTGAAAGCACAAGATCCAAAGCCTTCTGTACATCAAATTTACTATCCAGTACTGCTTGCACCATTGTTTGCTCTGGTACAGACTCTGCCAAAACTTCTCTCATTTGATCAAGGCATGAATTAAGACGGGCTAAAAGAGACACATTACTGTTATAAGCTGCACAAAAAAAATGTCTTAAGTGGCCTAACCACTAGCACCACATGTCTGATTAACAAAAGCAGGAGAAAAGTATCTTAGTAAGAGATAAAAACTTTAGGAATTAATTTCAATGTCACTTATTGCCATGATAAACTTTGCCCCCAAACCCTGCAAAATATTTGAGATTGTTGTAAGGAACATATCACTGACTACTACTTAGTCTATAAAGTCTCAATATTGAAATACTTTGATGTTGTAAAATTAACTATCTTCACTGCGGAGCATAAATACAAATAATCACCTTAAAATTATCCAAAGTAATTTAGTAAATCAATGTGGAATCCCATTGAACAGCACATTTTAAGTGTTTACAGATGCTATAATTAACACCCAAAGTAAAAGAGCGTTTTTGGGGGCCTCAGGCCTGAACAATTGAAAACTCCAGATCAACATGCCAGGTTTGAAACTACCTGCAATCTTTACCTTTCCTAAAACTGTAATACATTTTTTGGCTGATAAAAATAAATTTTCTTTGGAGCACATTTCTGCAACTAGTATCAGCCTTGACTAAGATAAGTTTCTTAAGTCTTGACCTGCCGCACAGCAAGACACTGAAAATTCACCAGGCTGCCACGTACTAGAAATAGCATGCTGATCAGACATACAAACACAAGCAAACAGAAGAAAATCTTCCTCAATATCACAGTTTCTGCCAGTTCAGATTTTAGAAAACAGGAACTGAACAACAAGACGACAATTACATATTCTTTATTTGAACACCTCCTCAAAGATGGTGACATTTAAAGAACTTTGCTAAGGGAATTTAACACCACAGAATTCCAACTTTCTCAAGGTTACTTAAATCATGACCCTCAATTCGTAATCCAAATAGCAAGTCAATGTTCCCCAGACATTTGCTCTGTGAAACAAGTACTGGTAGGGCCCTGCACAACATGCTGGTTGGCCATTTTATTATCCAACACTCAACAAGGACAATCTTGTCAAACTCTTTGCAGCCAGACTGACCACAATCAATCATTTTGTGTTAATGGCCAATACTGCACACTATACCAAACACAACAGGTCTTGTGGGACCACTGCTGTTTTCACAATAGAAATGGTTATTTCTAGGTTTCTTTTCCATCTTTTATTAGTCCAGAATATTACTTTCCTCCTTGTTCCAGTATCAATTCTTAACTGATTAAGTTTGCGAAAAGCATTCTGAAAAGCCAGGGTACTATACTGCCTAGATCACTTGTATCCACACACAGGATAATTCTTTCAAATTGCTCTCTACAGCATTATTTCCTGCTGTAAAAACATGTATATTACATCCCAATTTACGACATTTACCCATATGTCTATGCACTATCATAGCTTCTACCAGTTCACTTGATATGGAATCTAGACTATTTCTATTCTATCTATTGTTTCTGAATTTTCTGCAACTTGTTTTAAATACCGTATTTCATTCATGCATTTTATTGCTATTCATTCACCAACACACAATACTCTGAGCTTATCAACATTGTAACAATAACCCCAATTATTTTTGAAACATTAAAAACTAAGTTAACTATTAAAACTTGGGAAATTTGTGAATCTTTTTCACAAAGCATATAATTAGGCTATCAGATAGCAAGTTTAAAAAACAAAAGCCAGTCTTTTTTTTCCCGACCCCCCAGATCAGAACTCTGCTTGTAACATGGAATTCGTGCCTGCAGAACTAAATGGAAACCAAAGTCTAATGAATTGAAGCAGAGTAAGAAAAGATTGTAGAAGATACAGGTATCTAAAGATACTGGCTACTGTTTCAAGGAAATGCGTGACTTTGAAAACCTTTCAAATACTGCTAAGGGCCATAATCTGGAATGCAATACAAGCAAAAGATCATTCTACAAATACTCTAATACTCTTCCCTAAACATCCATTTGTGGAGTTCAAGACCTTGAACTGCACGGATGCTTGGGCTGAGCCAGCACAGCTGTTCTTATGTCTGAATTGCATATCAAATCTCATTATTTCTAGTAAGACACTAAGAACAGATTTCAATGTATGCAAAGTTACAAAAGGTAGTTACGAACTTGAAGAATCACCAATGAAGCTATGCTTGGGAAGGGTGGTGTTCTACAAGATTACAAAATTGTGAGCTGTGTCAGTCAAGTAACAAACATTAATTTCAGACTCTCTTAGTAAATCCTTAATTCATAAAAGAGATTGCTCTGAGAACTATTTATTTTCTATAATTACCTCTATCAACTTCAGTCAACTGATGACTGGACGTAAAATAATCAGCAGTATCATCTGTACCTTCACAGCCATATTCTTCTTCTAATGGCTCAGCAAATGTTGCTGGTTTGTCTCGTCTGGAGTAGATAAATTGAGCTGCTGAATTAAGTAAAAAAACAAAGTATTAAAAAAAATCAGGTCTTTTTTTCCTCCTTTAAAATAAAACATATATAAAGGGGAAAAAAAAGTTAGGATGCTGACCTGCTGCAGTGATTTCAGGGAGGGAATGGGACACTACTGTATAATGACTACTACCTGAAGATTGTACAGAACATATTTATATGCTAGCATGAACTGCTGTAAGTCATCATCACAGCGAAACCACAGGCTAGGCAATATCCTTGTATCCATGTAATGCAATAATTCTGCAAAGTTCAATATTCAAATAAAAGAATACACTACAGACTTGAAAAACAGTATTTCCTACACCAAATTACCATCTATGGCCTAATATCTTCAGAACCTTACCCAGAACCTGAGTTACAGGTTAAAAAAAAAAAAAGTAGCACGAAAATAATGTTGCTTTTACAGTATGGCACTATCACACTACTGATAACAATTTAATGGAGTCCAACATATTCTCCTCTTGTTGGAATTTCATTAGAAATACAGCCCATGAGTTAAAATGTATATTCACACAAAACTTTAAACAAGTGCATAATTCCACTCTGATTTAGCAACACATTAAGGTATATATAGCTAGAGCTTCTTGCTGAACATGAGCCCCCACCATTACATACTCCCCAGCTCTGAAATACATACTGAAAGCATATGTATATCCAGAAGTTAAGTAGCATAGCCTTAGCAACTGTTTACCAAATGCATACCATTTTGTATCTAATCATCATAACTCAAGCAATTACTAAGAGATTGCTATACAATCTAGATCAGACTACTTTTTATAAATGAAGCTTACGTAAAAAGAATTCCTAGGAAAATTACTGTGCACAAACAAGAATTAGTTTTGCAATTTAGCAGTTTATACTTGAGTAAAATGCAAACATGTTGCACGTTTTCATCACAAAATACAAAGCTACCTTAATTCTTAGAAAATGTCTGGAAAATTCTAGCAATTAAACTTAGAAATTGAATGCAAGACAATCTGAATTTAAACCAGGGAATGTGACTACAAATAATAAAAATATGCACCTAGATTCGCTTATCTAAAATCAACAGGAGGACAGAGGAACAGATTTTTAAAGACTTGTGGCCAGAAGTCACAGGCTACATCGCGCTCGCAGTGGATTTAGATCCACTAGTTACCTGCAGTAGTACAGCTTCACATCAACATCAGACATACTGTTTTCAGGGCCTACTCAGCTCTGAAAACACTGTTGCCAAATATGGGTAAACCCTGAACTGACAATCTTAACAGAGATTGGACTGGAGAAACAACCTAATGGTTCTACGCTCAGGCTGAATTCAGCTGGGTTGAGCTGCTGAGCACATCTCACCTGAGCACAAAGCATCACTATTTTTATACCTCCTTTGCAACACTACAAATGCCAGAAAGCTTATTAGCTCTGCGTGCTCTTGCACGAGACCAGAAGCCAGTGAGGACAAGTGCTGCAGCCCACAACAAGACTCCCTACCCTGCATTTACTCAAAGTTGTGTAAAAGACATCAACTACCAGGTGCAGAATCACAACTGCTACACACAGCTAGATCCTACTAACAATTTTAAAAGATACCAAATGTTCCAAGACTATCAACACATTCCCATAAACCACATTTTTACATTATCAAGTACATTCTGACCATCCAAGATAACATACTTGTACAACTGAAGATGTGCCCAGTTGTCTTATGTGACTTTCAAAAAGTACAATGCCTAACACTACATAACTGACTTTAACAAGATTATGGCCGCTAGGCACTTTTCAAAACTTTCACTAGTTTTTAAATATTGATTTATTCTAGAAATAAATATTAGAGTAGGAATCAATGGATAATGCTTATATGTAATCATTTGAACTAACCTGTTGAAGGAGAAATGCAATAATCATCTTCTACTGATTGGCCATACACATCATCATCTTCAAAATCTATGAAGCAGAAACAGTAAGATTAGTCAGCACAATTTCTAAATACTTAATATTATAATTCAAAGGGTAGCTTTTACACAAGATTTTAAGAAATTATGCATCCCTAGTATTCCAGATGTGCAGTTAAGTACTGTTTATTTACCTAGGTAAGCAATTCTAAGTTACAAGAATAGAATTTTAACATTTAATACTTTATTCATTAGGAAAGCTGAGAATTTTCAAGAGCTGCCATGCTTCACACCCCCTCCTTCAGCACCTCCTTTGGAAGGCTGCCCTCACAATCCAAACCCAGTTCCACAAATCTTCGCCCATGGCACTTCTCTTGACATTTCTGCTTGACCTCTCAACAGTCTTAACCACAGACAGTTCAATTACAATCTCTACTCCAACGACTCAGAATCAGCATTTCTATTCCATACCCATTTACTACTCAGCTTTCTTCTCTGGTCTGTCCTCACGGATATCTACCCTTCAGCTCAGGTTCAGAAAAGCAAAAAGACAATTCACAATTCCCTTTGAATACACAAAATTGTTTCATCCAAAAAGCAAGAACCTTATATAGTTACTTAAACATAGCCATATACTTTCCCAATTTTTTTTTTTTTAAAGGTATCAGGAATCAGTTATCAGGAAACACAGAAAGTATATTATCCACCCTCCCCCAAAAAATCCTATTATGTAAATCTTTAAAAAACATTTCTAATTTTCACTAAGTAATAATGAAATACATGAAAAAAGTAACGAAATGTTTTTAAAGATGTTATTGCATGCACTTGGCAGTTTCACAAATAACATGTATTGTTTGTTGCTTTAAAAGAGAGAAAAAAGTAGCTACCATCTAAAAAAAATCTGCACTGGGGCATGAAAGGTTCATTTATCTATCAACATGGAACAAGAAAATCAAAGTAAACTTAACTCTATAATCCACTGTAATTTTCAAAAAAAATGCCAACCAAAAGTAGTAGCTAAAACGGTTAGCACAAGTGTGTGAAGTTTAGTGAAAGACTCAGGAAGCTACTTTGGAAATTAAATATCACAGGATAAAGAAAATGTACTACAGGCTTGTTTTGATTATCTTTTTAAAAAGAGCATATTGTTATCTACTTTTTGACCATGTCTCCTGGTTCCATGCTAGGACCAATTAATCTATAAAAAAGTCTAGAAAAGAGTTACATATTTTTTTCAAGGTAAGAGCACTTTTTGTAGTTTGGCCAATACTCGGGGAGTGTCAAGGAGAACTCCAAAATGACTTGTGTGAATGGTTAACATTCACAGTTAGTAACTGAAATCAAGGTAAGTCTTGTCAGTGTGTATTACTTCAATCACTTGTATATCCCATAATGGTTTAATTTCTGGACTAAGAAAAATACACCTCAGGTAAATGGTTCAGCTTGCATTAACCACAAAAATAATTATTAAAAAATGACAGAAATTACAGAGGACAGAGTAGAAGCCACAGAAGCATTCCACAGTATCAACAGCTGTTATCACCGACATACTCTCAGCTGGAATATCGCATTCAGTTCTGATCACAATACCTCAAAAAGGAGAGAGCAGAAATAGAACACGGTCAAATAAAGGCAACAAAATCTAAGGCCTCAGAAGACTTCCTAGGAAAGGAGCCCAAAAAATACTGCAAATATTTACTTTAGAAAGGAGACAAATAATTGGGCCAGACAAAGCATTACAGAATCGTAAGTGGCATAAAAAGAACATATAGTATTAAAGAAAAAAAAAGAAGACAGAAAAGTGTACTTCATTTGGGACAGAAATGATTGTATGCAACTACAAAAGTAGTATATGGTGTAAATATAAAGACCACACGCATACCTACTTCTAATTAAACCTGATGTGTAATGCAACAGTAAAGTAGCAACTTAAGTCTCATAAGGATACAGGAAATTACTATGTATCTCAGCAACCTCATTAAAAGAGATTCTAATGAGTATACAAACACTGAAATGAATTCCACAGATTGGGCACCCAACTTCACAGATGACAGATATTCAGTTGAAGTTGACATTTCATCCAGTCTGTGATGAAGAAAATCTCTAGAGGATGAAAGAATCAAGCAGTAAAATCCCCAATCCAGTCTAAGATTTTGCCTGTCTTAGGTAAATTTGCAATAGTAAAACCTGCAAGGTAGGCCACAGAGATGTCATGAGTGATATGGATTTACACGACTTCCCCAAAAATTCCAAGATCACAGTGCAAAACTCAATTTCTGCTACTACAATACATATACACATTGCATCTGTCTGCTCAACAGCAGAAGACCAGAGGCAGGTAGAAGTATTTTTTGCAATTTTTGTATATAATCTGACAAAGTCAGGCAACAAAACAGCTGCTCCCATACCAAAGGGTTCTTTAAAATACCAGTATCAACTGGAAATGTGTCCATTTTTCCACAGCCCAAGCCAAAATAAACAAAACCATTGAGGAAAAAAGGGTGCAATATACAGTTTGCCTAAGTTAATGGGACAGAGCACAAAGAAAGGTGCAGCACCGCAGGTACAAGCCCAGTTGTTACACAAGAGCTTGTTCAGTCCATGCAAGCTTAAGTAAAATATGACAGAAAGGTGTCTGAAATACAGATTCTTCCTTAGATGCTCAACTCCATCTTTAAGAACTACATTTCTTCTACGTGGAACAGCTGTTACCGCTTATCTATTACTATGGCTGAACATCAGCAACAACTTCGCTAGTTAGACTGGGCATACAAACTTTTAAGCTTTACAAGGCTGAAGGAGGGCAGGTTCAATTGTATTGAGGCTGGTTTTCGAGTCACTCCCACCCGCCTGAAAACCGGTCAACTTCGACAGCTTAAGGCAACGCAGGTAACCCCTGCCACGGCTAGGCCTGCGTGCCGCGGCCGCGCTTTCCCCATGTGGAAGCTCCCGGGGGACCCCGGCAGCAGGAGGAGGCCCTGCAGGGCAGCGGCAGCACGGCCAC